AAAAAAAAAAACTGTCCCCAAGAAAGCTCATTCTTTTATTCTCACACTCACACAATCATTCGCCTCAAGAAGAAAACGAAAAGGTTTTCTTTTTTTTTTATTATTAATTCGGTATGTCTGTACAAGTCGCTAATGCCGTCGACCATTTTTTTTTTCCCGAGAAACTTTTTTTTTCGATGAATGTGCGCACAATGTCCCGTTGGAATTTTTTTTTATAACACCTCGAAGGAATGTATTATCGAGTGTCTTTTTTCATAAAATAAGTTCATATTATCGAATTATTTATATTAGACACTTGGCTCAATATTACTTTCTTCGCGGAGGACATTTTGTTCATTCAAATCCGTATATATAACGAGGAACGGAAAGAAAAAGTACCATCTGATGTCCCTTCTCAATAGCTATATATATATAATATATATATATTTTTTTTTATTCTTACTAACGCGGCATTTTAAGTTTTCTTATTACAATACGATAAGATAGAATATTTTTTTTTTCTCTCCAAACATAAACAATTGTTATATTATATTGGAATTTTTTTTTTTTTTTTTTTCATTTTTAAAAGCAATTTTATTGTAATTTTTTTTTCAACTCGCGAGGGAGAGGAGATAACGTAACTTTGAAAGCCGCGCGCTAACGAAAAAGGAATGATTGCTTGGTCCCGGATTGTCTGATCGAAATATAAGTGGACCGGGTTCTTTTCGCTACCAGTGACGTGTATATAATTTCTCTCAGAAAAAGATGATTCTAAATTATTGATATTTTTGTTTACAAAAAATGAACACTTTTTCTGAGTAGAGATATTTATTTTATTTTAACGCCAAACTAGCATGATAGGACCCTTTCCTTTTAAAGATTTGTGTTTTTGTCAATTAAAAATCAGAGAAATTATTTTTTCTTTAAAAATGTTTCTTTAGAAACTGTCACTTATTATTATTTTTTACTGGCATCTGTCCCAAGATTTTAGAATCACGCGTAAAATTGTTTTTCTCCTTTTTTTTTTTTTTTTCTTTTTTGGGTTTAAAATAAAAAATAATTTTTTTGGCTGTTGGCACGACTTGCACAGAGAGTGGCAATCGCCTAAATGTTATATAACGAACCTAAAATTTATTGGCAATCTAAATTGCGTACACCTCAAAAACTATTTCTACTTCAGCTACGCATCTCGCGGATTCTATCTACGTATAAAGTTTTCTTTTTCTCGGATTATAACGACAAATGTTTATGATTGAAAATGGACGAGAAAAATCGGACCAGTTGTCACAAAAGTTTTATACATTTTTTTTTTTTTTTTTTTTTTTTCAATATACTTCCAAAACGAGGTATTTGAATTATATTGTGACAACTATATTGACGAAAATTTTTATGAGAGAAATGTGTTTATGAATTTCAAAGAGCTAATGACGAGGTATGAATTATAATATAATTGGATTGATAATGAGATGCTAATTATAAAGTGATCTATAATTGGATGATAATATTTTGCAATTGAACATTGTAATCGGATGTTTTATTTAGTTTTTTTGATTGAACTTGAAAATAAATTGAATCTGATTAATAATTATGAAAAATTTAAATTTAAATTCATATTGATAATTATCAATAAAAATTGAGGTAAAAAAAGGAAGATTGTTCTCAGCATGATTGTGATAATTGCAACAAAATTTTGTCAAAAATTAAAAATAGTTAATTTGATGGATAAAATTTTATATTATATGGCACGATGCGAAGTAGAAAAATTATTTTTATAAGATGATTGAAAAATGTATTTTGTATTGATTGAAAAATTGTGATTGAGATGAAAAATGGAGAAAAATGTGATCGCTCGTCGTAAGAAAAACAGACGACGAGTCGATTATTTGTTAATAATTGTTGACAGTCTGTAAAATTTGTTTAGATTAAGATTGTAATAAAATACGCGTTAAAGCCATCACCTGTATCATAGTGAATCGCCCGCTACGTATGTTTATTTTATTATTTTTTTTTTATTTATCTACGTGAAATAGTATTAAAAGTTTCGCAGGTAGATATAGTACAGTAAAGAGTCTTGATAAGAAGAAAGTTTTTTTTTTTTTTTTTTTTTTTCGTACGTCCTTTAGAAGTTACGTTGCAAATAATCTCAAAAACATACCCTGTTTCCTAGAAATCACTGACACTTAAGTCGTGATTTATATCCAATTTATTTTACGTTGTTTTCTTGATTTAAAATTGGCTCTGCTGATACATATGGTGTGTATGAAAGTTTGAAAAAATTGTCTAGCAATTGTACGCGTGTGATGTAAGTGTGTAAAGAGACAATACAACACGTTTTATTCTTCCTCAAAACTCGATCCTCGAAAATAAGTATAATATTTTTTTTTTGTTAAAATTATTTTTAAAAAAATTTTTTTTTCAATACTGAAAAAAAGCTGTATCGAGAGAGTTTAATTTTTTTTTGTTTATATTACTTGTTTTAACGAATGTTACACCTACATTGCTAATTGTAAGCCAAAATCTCAACGGCAAGTACATCCCTCGTCATCTCACGTTATGTAAAAATAAATTCAAAGCTGTCCTCATCGATTACTATTATCATTATTATTTCACGCCTTAGAACTAAGAGTATTTCCCTTAAGTCGATTACTTCATAGCAAGATGCGTTTACTAGTCGGTTGTAGCAAAAACTTTTTTTTGGATAAAATAGTGTATTTTTTTTTTTATATCGTCATTACTTTGTATTTATATGTATATCATTTAGCGTAGGTTGTGGTTGTTTATTACTATTAGTTATATCATTAAACGTACCTTAAAAAGCTTACATCATAGTGATATTATCAATTCGTGCTCGAGAAGAAGCATTTTACACATTATATGATGTGTCGCGTGTTTTTTTTTCATTTTTTTTTTTTTTTTTTTTTTCTTTTAAATTTGTGTCGCTTGTGTGAAACGCAAGTGAGCGTCTCAGTGTATTGGATTGGCCATGTATGTGCTTTTTTATTTATTTATTTGTGAATGAGACGGCGTCGTCGCTTTTGCAGATTCGCGCTTTTTTTTTTGCATCGACATGATTTCTCTCAACTAATGGACGTAGTCCTATTCTAAGATTCTATCTAAAAAAATAATTAAAAGCGTTCCTTCCAGCGCCTATTTCTTTCACAAATCAGCTATTTTCCCAAAAAAAAAAAAAAAAAAATTTTTTTTTGGTTCGAAAATTGAAAAATAAATTATAAATCTATGTAGCGTTAAAAATAGTTTAACAAATTTTTTATTTTTCGCGTTTTTGGTAAACAACGAAAATTGAAAAAGATCTAAAAAATTAAATAACAAAATAAGCTATTTAAAAAAAAAAAAAATTGCCCCCTTCAATGGCTTTTTAAAAAAAAAGAAATACTGAGAGATCTGAAAAAATATTAAAATACTAGACTTAAGCAATTATCATTTTTTTTTTGTTTGACGCTATCAATCCACTTTTTTTTTTTAATTCGGTCTAATTAGCTACTTTCTAAGGATTATAAACAAAACTAATTGCCTCTATGCCGCTTTAAAACGCAACTCGTAAGCGCTTTTTCGTCGTAGTTGTAATAAGACTCTCGTGCACGATCTCCAAATTTTAGATTATTATATCTTTTATTCAGAATCGCAGTTTTTTTTTCAACTATAGTCAACAAAAATAGAAAAAAGTTCCTCCCGGAGATGTTTTTCTATTCTTAAATATGAAATTATTTCCATTATCAAAAAATTATCATAGAAAAATTATTTTAAATTATATTATTTCAAAAATTTATTCTAAAAAAAAGTTATTTCAATATTTATTCTATATAATTATTCTCGAAATAATGTGACGCGAGTCTGAAATTATTATCTAAATTATTCCTACATTTATATTTTATATATATATATATATATATACTTCCTACATTCTAAAATTATTCTAAGAAAATATTTATTCTAGAAATATTATTCTATATATGTTCAAAAGAAAAAAAAAATTGGAGAAAATTGTAAATTAGGTACAAAATATTCAACAGTTCTCACATGGGAGAAACTTTATTTTGTTTAAAAATAACATATTTACAAAAAAATATCGTGCACGATGATATCTTTTATAAACGGTGGCTTACGGTATGCGTACGGTTTTCTTTTTTTTTTTTTTTTTTCTAATATGTTTTTCGGTATTTCAATCGGCTCGGTCTCGCCGTGTCCTGATCTAAAACTTTGCTATACGAAATCCACGCTCATCATTTATCCCCCCCCCCATTAAAATGTAAATTTATGTCTCTAAAAATGACAAGAATATATGTATGTGTGTATAATATTCACGTGTGCATCGTACAGTATATACTTTATTTTGTATATAGCGTTAAATTTCAAAAAAGATCATCAGCATCGCACTGAATTTCGAGTAAATATTTGTTTTTTTTATAATAATAATCATAATAATAGTAATAATAATAATAATAATAATAATAATAAGTGAATTAAATAATTATATTATCTCATATATTTAAAATTAGCACTGCATGATCGAATGGTAACTCAGTACTTACTCCCACTTTTTTTTTTTTATAGTTCCTCGATTTTTTTTCAGTTACTATATTATGTTTGGTATTACGTAACTGGTTATTATTATTATTATTTTTTTTTTACATTAACGTACGCTCACACGTACGCGAAACGAGCAACATACGCGAACGGATTTTTTTTTTTTTTTTAACAAGCGAGGAGCGTTGCTTGCTCGTAACATGATTTTATTATACTTTTTAATCAATATTTTTATTAATATTTATTATTTAAATATATACATATGCATATAAATATATATTCATAGATATTTATATGTGTATGTTTATATTAATATGTATATATATATATATATGTATATACATATTATATATAGCATAATCGTGGTCGCGTTACAAAGCGGCGACTAGTGTTTCATTTTTTTTTTTTTTTTACGTCTCACTAATTCCATTCTCCCTTTCCCCGACCCCCCGTGACTAACCCAACCCCCCCCCCACGTCACTTCAAAACCCGCTTCTAATAATTTATTTCTATGAATTTAGCTAGAACTAGAATAATTTACTAAGTCGCTAGTCGTTTCTCGTTCAATATATTATCAATATTTTATATTTATATATGTATATATATATTATTTATATTTATGTTCATATTTATATATTTATATTTATACGTCTTTCAATTAATAATAATAATAATAATAATAATAATAATTAAATAATGAGTTGGTACTTTGGTTGATTTTTAAGTCCCCTTTTCCCTCCTCCCAATTTTTTTTTCAGACAAATCAGAGCTTTCCTCTCCGTTCCTTCGCTCTCCTCGTCATCGTTCTATTATGAGAGTATTGGTTTTTTACCCCCTTTCCCCCACTCCACGAAAATGATCGTTTTTCGAAAGATCACCGTCCGCGAAACGACCAACGTATTTTTTTTTTTTTTTTTTTTTTTTAATGTCAATCTGTTTTAGAAATTACATGTGTCGTATATAATGGATCGGGAATTAGTTTTTATTTATAGATTGTTTATATATAGTTTTTAATATAATTATATATGTGTATATAATATATATCCATATATTTGGTATATATAAGATTATACAATTATATGATTATAGATTATATATATTATAGATTGACATAACACTGATATAGTTTTATGTGTCGTGCTACTTCTTTTTTTTTTAATGAGAAAAAACGATATATTTTCAATTAAAAAATTATCGTGTTTTCGTATTTTTTTTTATTTTAGAAATTGAGAAATATTTTTCGTTTAATTTTCAGTTGAAATTATTGTATATTTAGAAGTATTGTGTAAATTGGAACTTTAGGGAACATTAAAATTATTTTCAAAATCTGAAATTTTGAAAAAATTTCATGTATTTCTAATTTGGCAATTGTTGTTATATTTGGAATTATATTTTTTGGTGTTTCTGTATATATTAGAAATATATTTGAATATTTTATATTTGAAATGTTATTTTTTTTTTATAATTCAAATTTTAGATTTTCTGTATTTTTTGGAAAATTTTTTTTGTATATTCCATATATGTTTGTATACTTGTATTTGAAATTAATAAATATTTTTTATATTTATTTATTTGGTATTTACCAAATGTATATGTTAATTTGAATTTCAAATTATTTGAAAATATTTTCAAATTAATTTTAACTGAAAATATGCTGCAATTTGAAGATTTTTAAAAATTTAATCGCATTAAGCAATGCTTGTAAAAAAAAAAAAAATGTTCTTCATTGTTATAATTAATAAAAATAATTTTTTGTAGAAAAATAATTAATTAATAAAAATAATAAATAAAAATTCTTAAAAATTAATTGTTAAAAATAATTAAATAAAATACCTGACAGCGGCACGACTAGTTTTTGGTGGAGAAAAAACTGTTCACTCTTGTTTCATTAAATCACAGCCAAGATGGCATTTCGCGGATGAAGCGATCGATTGACAAAACGAAATGGGTTCGGAGTGATTAATCGATATAAATCGATTAATGTCATTTTTTTTTTGGAAATTCTTATATATTTTATACACAGTTTTTTTTTTACTGTGGGAAATTTGTCCACTTAAGTACTTTGAGTATTTGTTCATCTCACCTTTTCTTCTTCTTCCTCTTCCTCTTTTTTTTTTTTTTTTTTTTTTTTTGGTAATAATTCTAAGTCACCAGAATTTATATCCTATTATTTTTTATTATATTTCAGTTTTTGACCCCCTTTTACTTAGTTTTTTTTTTCCATTGCAATTTTAAAAAGCGTAGACTGAATTTATATTCTATTTTATTTTTTATATCATGACAAATAATTGAATTTAAATTCAGTCTCGTTTAATGAAAACTGAAAAAAAACAACCCCGGTGACTATATTGTTCCTATTACATTATAAAACCTACATCTCTTTTAACGATGCAACTTAATCAATTTATGATGTTGATCTTTATATAGTGAAGTTGTTTTGATCAGTCGTGAATAAAAATTTTGCACACAGCATTGACTAGATTTTTCTTTTTGGCATTTTATGACGCCATGTGCATAATAATAATATTTTTTTTTTTTAAAGACCGGAGAAAGAATCTATACTTGAAGAATTCTTGTCTCTTAGACCGAATATTCAGTCTAGTAAATTTGAAATTTGTTATTATCGCGTGAAAGAACCGAGAGTCGGAAAAATTGAGACTTTTAAGTCTTTTGACAATTTATAGCAGAGAAAAGTTGAAAAAAGTTTTTTTTTTCTTTTGGTAATTTAACTGCTTAATTTTTGTTAAAAAGTGACTCTGGTTCTTGTATGATTGTTCCATGACGATGTTTCGAGGAACAAATTATATCGATAACAGAGTAGATTTTTTTTTCTTTTTACAGGAGTAGAAAAAATATCCTTGACATTTTTTTTAAGTCTTGGCTGATCAGAGACAAAATCGTGTACTCCGATTTTTTTCCCATTTTTTTTTTCGTGGATTCTCTCATGAACGACGACGAAGCTCCTCCTCCGGTGACCTCTACTTTTATTTCTAAAGAATTAACTAACTAGAATACTAGGTTGTTACGGTGGAGAGCGTTGTGGCGACGATTCAAACTCTTCAATTCCGATCTTTCAGCTTGTACTGTCGTACGACACCTAAAAAATTTCATAAATTTTTTATTAATTTAAAAAAAAAATATTTTTATGCCCTCATGAAAAGGATCCCACTTTGGTTTTTTTCCAAAAAGTACCATTAATGTTCATACAAAAATATAATTCTTATTGAATTCGATGACAAAATGGTCCTTTTACATGAGGACGTTCAAGTTATTTTTGAATGAAAACGAGTTACTGAAAAATTTTCCTTTTTGAATATAAATAAAAAAATAAAAATTTATTTATATTCTCTCAAAATCTGAATTAGTAAAAATATTTATTAATTTGAATTAGTGACTCACTTTTTGCTTCTGAATTAGTAAAATTTTACTAATTGTTAGTAAAAGTTACTAATAATTAGTGAAATTTTACTAAATAACTCAGAAGCAAAAAGTGAGTCACTAATTCAAAGTAGTAAATATTTTTACTAATTCAGATTTAGAGAGTTACTAAAATTTATTTTTTAAAATTAAATTAAAATATTTTGAATTCGTTTTTGACAAAATGAAACTTACTCTGTAGGTTATAACATAGGGCGCGACCCGGCCAGTTTTTCTAGGCTAGGACGTGGGTTAGTACGGTCTGTTGGCGTCCTTGGGCCTTTTCAGTTGAACTTTTAATCGCTTCATCCCTATTTGGAAGCCGTTCATCGCCTGGATTGCTGCCTGCGCGCTCGACGGATTGTCAAACGACACAAAACCTACAACAATCGCATAATTAATTTATTCAAAATTTCGAAAAAAAATTTCGTAAAAAAAGTAATACCACAAGTGAAATTAGCAATTTGTAGCCAAATTTACGCTCACTAGGTCTAAATGACTGAACAAAAAATAATAATAATAATAATTTTCTAAAATAATTAAATTGTCTCGTTTATCATAATTTTCAATAGATAAGTAGTATAAGCCATTTTAAGTCAGACCAAAGTTAATTCTACCTGGAAAAAAAAGAACAAAAAAAATTGGTTAGTTTTCCTAAAGAACACATAACATGAACGCAAGAATGAAACTTTTTTAACGAGAGGAATATATAGGTAACAATTTTTATGAGCATGCTTACGCTCGAAGGCAACATTCTCTCTGTTTCGTTGAAAACTATAAGCGCTGAAAACTCATCTAAGCGTTGAATATCATAGGACTCTCAATCTAAATGATCACTTATTAGTGAACCAGCTCCAACCACCCGAATTTGCTGGTAGGGAATAAAAAGTTTTAATAAACGGCATTAGCCAAGTTTTGCTTGAAGGGAAACACGATAACGAAGTAGATTCCTGACCGTTAGTAGCTCGAAAAGGTCGTCGGGGATTTCTGGGCTTAAGCCAATTTTGACTATTATCCTCGATCCAATTTTAGTTTTACCATGATGACGGCCTACGGCCAAAGTTTCCCCCATCCCGTACTTCCTCTTTTATAGGATTTCGATAACTTAATAAAATTACCATTTTTTTTTTTTTGTTGTTTTCAAGAAAGATTCTACTTTTTTTTTCTTTTTTATTATTTTTTCTAACAAAATTGTTTTAATACAAAAAAAATTAAATTTAGTTTTATTTCACTATTAAGTTTTAAAAATATCTCTTAAAATTTCAGTTTGGGAAAATTATTAATGTAAGATAAATTTTAATGCCCCAGGCAAAGAATATTGCGTTGGAAAATTGAGAGAATGATTATTTCGTGTGAATTTCTCTTTCCTTTTGGCCTCTCTGTTTGCCTCTTATCTTGAATATTTCCTTCGCACCCCTGAATCAATGGCGAGGGTCGTATCTCGAAAGCCTTGAGGGTGACCAGGGGACCGATATTACTCTTTCGAAAAGGATCTCAGCTATTTTTTCGAGGTGTGTATGCCCCGGGGGTGATACACATGACATTAGATACTTTGAGATAGGTCGAATAAACGAATTCCCCGAGACAGTAACTTCTCAAAATAGATCACGAGCAAACTCTCTCTCTCTATCTCTCTCTCATGCTCGACAAATTTCTGATTCACTTTATAATTAAATAAGCAAATTTGTCTAACATTCGTTGCTCTAAAAAATAGATATTTCTTTAAAAATTATCAATTAAATACTTATATAAAAATTATGCAGTAAAATGTTAATTCAGTATTTTATTTTTATAATTGAATTTTGTTTATTTCAACTCAATTTTAAAGTTATTCTTTAATCTGAAATTATAAATTAAATTGCTAGTTTCAATTTCCAATAAATGAATTCATTTATTAATACTCATTCCAAATAAAAAAAATTTTCTTATTTAGAACATGAGAAAAAAAGAATATATTTTGCACACCACAATAACTAACGAATTGTCCGCTAAAATGTTACTCCCAATTATCAAACCTGCAGAGCAGATACGATTAATCAAAGAGAAGAGAATAAAATTTTTGCTTTTTTTATTATTTCGATCTACGCCGCATTCAATAAAAGAAGAAAAATTTATGTAATTTTAAAATTTCGAGATAAGAGCTCCGAAATACCACCAAAGTCTAAATCCGGGAGTCTCGAACAAAGAATGTATAGGGCATTTTTTGACTCATCCAGCGGATGCTGATCTGGATTCAAAGAAAGTTGAGAAAAAAATTCGAAAAATTAAATTTTCGAGATAATCATTTGGCAATACCCACAAAGCAGTTAGAAGAAAGTTCTAAACAAAAAATGTATGGCACACTTTTTGATTGGTCCAGCGGATGCTGAGCTACACTAGAAAACAAATTTGGAAAAAATTTCGAAAAATTAAATTCTCGACATAATTGTTAGGGAATACCGGCAAACTAGTTAGAAGAAAGTTCTGAACAAAAAATGTATGGCGCACTTTTTGATTGGTCCAGCGGATGCTGAGCTACACTCAAAAATATTTTGGAAAAATTTTCGAAAAATTAAATTCTCGACATAATTGTTCGGGAATACCGCCAAAGTAGTTAGAAGAAAGTTCTGAACAAAAAATGTATGGCGCACTTTTTGATTGGTCCAGCGGATGCTGAGCTACACTCAAAAATATTTTGGAAAAATTTTCGAAAAATTAAATTTACGAGATAATCGTTCGGGAATAACGCCAAAGTCTTTAGCAAAAAGTAGCGAACAAAAAATGTATGGCGCACTTTTTGATTGGTCCAGGGAATGCTGAGCTACACTAGAAAACAAATTTGGAAAAAATTTCGAAAAATGAATTCTCGACATAATTGTTCGGGAATACCGCCAAAGTAGTTAGAAAAAAGTTCTGAACAAAAAATGTATGGCGCACTTTTAGATTGGTCCAGCGGATGCTGAGGTATACTCAGATAAATTTTTTAAAAAATTTCGAAAAATTAAATTTGCGAGATAATTGATCGGGAATACCGCCAAAGTCTTAACCCGGGAGTCTCGAACAATAAATGTATGGCGCACTTTTTGGTTGGTCCAGCGGATGCTAAGCTACACTAGAAAACAAATTTGGAAAAAATTTCGAAAAATGAATTCTCGACATAATTGTTCGGGAATACCGCCAAAGTAGTTAGAAAAAAGTTCTGAACAAAAAATGTATGGCGCACTTTTTGATTGGTCCAGCGGATGCTGAGGTACACTCAGATAAATTTTTTAAAAAATTTCGAAAAATTAAATTTGCGAGATAATCACTTTGGAATACCGCCAAAGTCTTAACCCGGGAGTCTCGAACAAAAAATGTATGGCGCACTTTTTGGTTGGTCCAGCGGATGCTGAGCTACACTCTGATAAATTTTTAAAAAAAATTTTAAAAATTAAATTTTCGAGATAATTGATCGGGAATACAGCCAAAGTCTTAACCCGGGAGTCTCGAACAAAAAATGTATGGCGTACTTTTTGATTGGTCCAGCGGATGCTGAGCTACACTCAGATAAATTTTTTAAAAAATTTCGAAAAATTAAATTTGCGAGATAATCACTCCGGAATACCACAAAAAAAAAGTCAAAAAGTAGCAAACAAAAAATGTATGGCGCACTTTTTGATTGGTCCAGCGGATGCTGAGCTACACTAGAAAACAAATTTGGAAAAAATTTCGAAAAATTAAATTCTCGACATAATTGTTCGGGAATACCGCCAAAGTAGTTAGAAGAAAGTTCTGAACAAAAAATGTATGGCCCACTTTTTGATTGGTCCAACGGATGCTGAGCTACACTAGAAAACAAATTTGAAAAAAATTTCGAAAAATGAATTCTCGACATAATTGTTCGGGAATACCGCCAAAGTAGTTAGAAAAAATTTCTGAACAAGAAATGTATAGCGCACTTTTTGATTGGTTCAGCGGATGCTGAGCTACACTCAAAAATATTTTGGAAAAATTTTCGAAAAATTAAATTTACGCGATAATCGCTCCGGAATACCGCCAATAAAATAGGGAAAAAGTTTCGAACACAAAATGTATGGCGCACTTTTAGATTGGTCCAGCGGATGCTGAGCTACACTCTGATAAATTTTTAAAAAAAATTTAAAAAATTAAATTTTCGAGATAATTGATCGGGAATACAGCCAAAGTCTTAAGCCGGGAGTCTCGAACAAAAAATGTATGGCGTACTTTTTGATTGGTCCAGCGGATGCTGAGCTACACTCAGATAAATTTTTTAAAAAATTTCGAAAAATTAAACTTGCGAGATAATCACTCCGGAATACCACCAAAAAAAAGTCAAAAAGTAGCAAACAAAAAATGTATGGCGCACTTTTTGATTGGTCCAGCGGATGCTGAGCTACACTCTGATAAATTTTAAAAAAAAATTTTAAAAATTAAATTTTCGAGATAATTGATCGGGAATACAGCCAAAGTCTTAACCCGGGAGTCTCGAACAAAAAATGTATGGCGTACTTTTTGATTGGTCCAGCGGATGCTGAGCTACACTCAGATAAATTTTTTAAAAAATTTCGAAAAATTAAATTTGCGAGATAATCACTCCGGAATACCACCAAAAAAAAGTCAAAAAGTAGCAAACCAAAAATGTATGGCGCACTTTTTGATTGGTCCAGCGGATGCTGAGCTACACTAGAAAACAAATTTGGAAAAAATTTCGAAAAATTAAATTCTCGACATAATTGTTCGGGAATACCGCCAAAGTAGTTAGAAGAAAGTTCTGAACAAAAAATGTATGGCGCACTTTTTGATTGGTCCAACGTATGCTGAGCTACACTCAAAAATATTTTGGAAAAATTTTCGAAAAATTAAATTTACGAGATAATCGTTCGGGAATACCGCCAAAGTCTTTAGCAAAAAGTAGCGAACAAAAAATGTATGGCGCACTTTTTGATTGGTCCAGCGGATGCTGAGCTACACTAGAAAACAAATTTGGAAAAAATTTCGAAAAATTAAATTCTAGACATAATTGTTCCGGAATACCGCCAAAGTAGTTAGAAGAAAGTTCTGAACAAAAAATGTATGGCGCACTTTTTGATTGGTCCAACGTATGCTGAGCTACACTCAAAAATATTTTGGAAAAATTTTCGAAAAATTAAATTTACGAGATAATCGTTCGGGAATACCGCCAAAGTCTTTAGCAAAAAGTAGCGAACAAAAAATGTATGGCTCACTTCTTCTAGGGTCCAGCGGATGCTGAGCTACACTCAAAAATATTTTGGAAAAATTTTCGAAAAATTAAATTTACGCGATAATCGCTCCGGAATACCGCAAATAAAATAGGGAAAAAGTTTCGGACAAAAAATGTATGGCGCACTTTTAGATTGGTCCAGCGGATGCTGAGGTACACTCAAATAAATTTATGAAAAATTAAATTTTCGAGATTATCGTTCTGAAATACCGCCAAAGTCTTAACCAGGGAGTCTCGAACAAAAAATGTATGGTGCACTTTTTGATTGGTCCAGCGGATGCTGAGCTACACTCTGATAAATTTTAAAAAAAAATTTAAAAAATTAAATTTTCGAGATAATTGATCGGGAATACAGCCAAAGTCTTAACCCGGGAGTCTCGAACAAAAAATGTATGGCGTACTTTTTGATTGGTCCAGCGGATGCTGAGCTACACTAGAAAACAAATTTGGAAAAAATTTCGAAAAATTAAATTCTCGACATAATAGTTCGGGAATACCGCCAAAGTAGTTAGAAGAAAGTTCTGAACAAAAAATGTATGGCGCACTTTTTGATTGGTCCAGCGGATACTGAGCTACAGTAAAAAACAAATTTGGAAAAAACTAAAAAATAAAATTTGCGAGATAATCGCTCCGGAATACCATAAGTGTCATTAGAAAAAAGTATCGAACAAAAAATGTATGGGGCACTTTTTGATTGGTCCAGCGGATGCCGAGCTACAGTAGAAAACAAATTTGGAAAAAACTAAAAAATTTGAATTTGCGTGATTATCGCTCGGGAATATCACCAAAAAAATAGTCAAAAAGTTTTGATCAAAAAATATATGGGGCACCTGTTCATTGGTTCAGCGGATGCTGCTCTAGATGAAAATAAATTTTGTAATTTTTTTAAATATTCAAGATTATCGCTCAAGAATAATTTTTAGTCTTAACCCGGTAGATGTTTAAAAAAAATGTATGGCTCACTTTTTGATTGGACCAACGGATGCTGCGCTAGATGATAGTAAATTTTGTGATTTTTTTAAAACTTCGAGATAATCGCTCGGGAATAGTTTTAAAGTCTTAATCCGGATGTTGCGAACAAAAAATGTATGACGGAATTTTTAATTTGATTAATAGAGTTTAAGATAGACTCAATTATTATTGTGATAGTAGTAAAAGATAATTATAGGAATTATAATTATAGGAAAATACTTTTCAATATTTTGCACTAAATATAAGAATCAGTACTAAAGGTGGATTATAGTTAGACAAAATCTTTCCAAAGTACTTGCAGTATCAGTAGAATAAGACAGATTTAGTCAGACAAAATGTTTCAAAAAATTGAATTACATGTATCAATACTTTTAAAATGTTGTTTATAAGATTATTTTTTAAAAGAAAAGTTCGTTGTTGTGGTTTTACTAGTCAATCAAAATTTTAGTTTAACATTCATCAAATAATAAATCGATAAAGTCTCTCATAATTAGAACATTTGTGTAATAATTATAAAAAAAAATTACCAAAACATAAAAACTTAATGCAGAGAAATTTCCCAACTAGATTTTCCACGTAATATGGTAAATTTTGAGAGATTAGAGTTTAATATTTTGAAATGAAAATTTTACTTAACTATATAATAAATGTAAAAATGGAGAATAATATTTGACAATAATAAGAATATTTTCCCTCTGTTATATAATTTAATGTTTAAAGTGAATGGGGAAATTAGAATTTGAAATTTTCAATGTTGTTTTACGAGTTAGATACTCACCGAAACATTTGCTCTGGTTAGTGGCACGGTCGATAAAGACTTTGGAGGAGATGACGTTACCAAACGGAATGAACATCTGCATGAGCTCAGCATCACCAAACTCCTGGGGCAGGTGGTAGATAAACAGGTTGCAGCCTTCGGGTCCTGAGATAGAGCATCCTACCATATAAATCAGAGCACATCTAAACATCTAAACTTGAAGTATAATACTCAAGTTAAAATGTTAGTTGATTTTTTTTGATGAACTTTATTTTTTCTTGAATGTTGAATATGCGTGAAAAACTGAATGTTTTATCGTAACATGAAACGCATTTAATGAATCCAATTTTTGACTTTTTGATAAATGACAATGCTAATGAAACATGAGAGTGATCGAACCGCGTGATTCTCGTAGCATAAATTCAATTCGTACAGGGTGGCCGCACAATTTTCATTTGTTAATTTTTGTTTTAATTTCTCTTATTACGTTGATTTTTTTTTCAAAATGGTAATTTATTTTTATGTATTACTCATTAATCATTATAATTCGTGTAATTTTTATGAATTATCAAATAAATTAGTCAAATAATTAGTCAAATAAATTCTAATGTTTTCGAAACAAATTATAAAATAATATAAATTGAAAAATTTATGTTTAAATTTTAATTATAAAATAAATTTTTCTATAAAGAAAATGATTGCTTTGGATATCTGTAAATTCAATTATTAAACTGAATCACTTTAGTAAAATTTCTACTAAAATTCAGTGATATTTCACTGAAAATTAGCAGAATTTTTTTTAATGATTTTCAAAAGTAAAATAATAATATACAGTAAAATAAAAAAAAAATGTTTAGTAAAAATTTGAATCAGTGGGATTTGATGAAATAGTTGGAATTTAGTAATTCAATATTTTCAGTAAAATTTCCAGTGAAATTCAGTCATATTTCACTGAAAATTAGAATTCTTTACTAATTGAAACAATCAGATTTGTTTTTGTGATTAATGATAATGTTGCTTTGATTGTTTAAGTCAGTAATAATTAAAATTGATTTTAAGTGAATTATTACTGAATTTCAGTGAAAATATTACTGAAACATATTTAATTTCCAAATTAAAATGAAGATCTTTTAATTATATTAATTATAGAAATTGTAAACTTTTCAGTAGTATTTAAACAAATATACTATGTAAATATTTTTATAATACAAAACAGATTTAAATAAATTATTTTTCAATAAAAAAAGTGAAGTAAAAGTACTATTTTTTGTTTTAATTTCGCATAAAAAAAAATTAATTAATTCTTTACTGTTATATGTAATAGACAAATAGTAATTTAACAAAATAAAAAAGAATTCTAAAGTATTACAAAAGTAAAACAGTCGCAGACTTTAATCAGACAATTATTTCCAAAAATCATAATGGTTCAAAAAGAATACAAATTTTTACATTCATTTTACCATAAGATTTTTTCCAAAAATTTCTATAGTCCACTGAAAGTCTGTTTTATTTAAAAAAAAAACACATTAATTCGTAAAAATAATTATCTAATACCAAAATTAATAATTAAATGATTCTTTTCATATGAATTATTTTGCGGCCAGCCTGTAAGATGAAATGATGAGATGCAAATGAATGATTTATATGAATCTGATTGTAAAATGAGAACACAAAATAAAGTGATCGATGAAAAAACAAATTAGCGTTTAGCCGGAGCGTCACGACGATTCATAAACGACTCTCATTTTTTTTTTTGAATTTTGAAAAAAGTAACGTTGAGTATATATACTTTCAAATGTATGACACACAACACCGGGATTTACAAGACAATTTAAGGTAAATGAAAGGTCGTAGGTTGAGGATAGTGATATGAGAATAAATGATAGTGACAATGACAATGACAATGATAATGACAATGGTAATGACAATGGTAATGACAATGACGTTAATGACTAATGACATGTAAATGATCGAAGATGCTTATAGTGAACGATTATTATCTCTGGTTAAATTCATGATCGGTATATATCATCGTATAACACACTATCAATGGACACTTATTACATAGGAGACATAGACATCGAGATCAATATATATGTATGTATATATATATATACAGCTAACACCGGCCCAAAGAGCAACGGCAATAAAACGAAAATCTGTATTTTCAAAAATTCTATGATTAAAATATACAAAAAGAAATTTTTTTTCAACTTTTTTTTTTGTTTTTTAAAAAACATTTAGAAAAAAAAATTTTTTTGAATATATTTTAATCATCCTTAAAAATTCGATGTTATCAACATTTTGCTGCGCGGAAATTTCCGCGTAAATAGGGAGAATAGGAGAGGGGGCCTAATTTAAGGATTTTAGTAGCTAATTTTACTAAACTTATATATTATACAATTCCGTTGTCAATTAGTGACGCTTATACGAAGGGGAAACTTTTGCTCAAGCTTTTCGAGTAACGGACACATTTAAGTAATGAGATAGCTGCCATTCGACTTTCATGGGACTACTAATCGCTATTCACTTTCGTTTTCCACCAAGAGAATTGCTTTCAATTTCTTGAGTAAGGACCTAAAAATCCTAAAAATACTTAATCCAAGGCATTTTTCCATATCCTTGTTTACGATTTAATTTTCCAATTTATTATATATATATATATATTAATTACATTTCTTCAAATTAAAGAAAAATCGGCGTATTTAATTTTTATAGGTGAAAAAAATTTATTTGTCTCATGTAAACGCTTTCTTTGAATAAAAAAATATTCTCTTTTGAAGGTATATGTAGTTTTAATATTTCGAAATAATTTTTTTTCCTTTTTTAAATATTTAAAAATAAAAATTTTTTTTTGAGAAAAAATTTTTTGTTTTAAATACTTTGTTTTGAAATTTCTTTCTCCAGTCAAAAGAAACGGAAATTAAATTAAAGCCCGGGATTGGTTGGCTTTTAAAAATTGAAAATAGCTCGTGATGTGGAAAACGAATGAGGAAGTGTATTTTTTTTTTTTTAAACTCGAGTGACAAACCATCAGAGTTTCATTAAAATCGGAGATGCACGTCCCTTGTTAGTAATAAACCCGTGTAATCGACGTCTCTATTCACTGGTACGGAGCGAACCGATGTTTTACAGTTTTGATGGAAAACCATCTCTCTGTTGCTCTCTTTCTCTCTTTTTTTTCTGTCTCTCTCACTCCCTCTCTCTATATATATGTATATATCTCTATTTCTCGTTTTTCTATGAGAATAATACTGGGAACGAAGTTGTCAAGTCGGATTCAAATTAGCGAGTTTGCCGAGGCGCGACACCAGGTTTTCCGGGCACAAACGGGTTGCCGAATTGGCGTATTGTGGATTTAGGGGAAAAATGAATCATAAATCTCAACGCGTCACAGCAAAACAACTACGTGAGCCTCAAAATGAGTTTAGCGAGCGACAAGGGCCATGTTTATCTCGGCTTTTCGATATTGAATTGTTGACGAAGGTTCTTTTTTGAAAAATCAACACTCATATAGTATATATATATATATATATTTATACATATATACACAGGTGTTTCAAAAAATTGATACATTTTTCATCTCATATGGTCACACTAGTCCAATTTTTATTACACTTTTTTAATTAACAGTTTTCATTAAAAGATTTTGTTTATTAAAAATAATCAGATTTTTTTAATTATGATAATTTTATAAGTAGTATAACTTGGTTTTAGTCAGACATAATTACGGAATTAGAAAATTAGTAGTAAAAGTAAGTATTTGGTCTGACTTTTTAATTGTTTGTAAAGTTTTTATTAATAAAAAATATTTATATATATTTACAATATTTTTTATTATTTTCAGTAGTATAAGTCGGTTTACGTCAGACATAATGAAAAAAGAAAATCAGTAGTAAAAGTAAATACTTGGTCAGACCTTCTACTATTTTTGTATATTTTTCAATAGTGAAAAAGTAGATATAACTCTTAATAATTTTTTTTTATTTTCAGTAGTATAAGTCGGTTTCTGTCAGACATAATGACAAAAATAAAGAAAATCAGTAGTAAATGTTAATATTTGATCAGGCTATTTAATGTTTTTGTAAAGTTTTCAGTAATAAATAATATTTTTTATATAATTCTAATATTTTTTATTATTTTCAGTAGTATAAGTCGGTTTACGTCAGACATAATGAGGAAAATAAAGAGAATAAGTAGTAGAAGCAAATATTTAAACAGGCTATAATTTTTTTGTAATTTTTCAATGATAAAAAATATTTTCAGTAGTATAAGTCAGTTTCAGTCAGACATAATGAAAAAAGAAAATCAGTAGTAAAAGTAAATACTTGGTCAGACTTTTTACTATTTTTGTATATTTTGTTTTCAGTAATAAATAATATTTTTTATATAATTCTAATATTTTTTATTATTTTCAGTAGTATAAGTCGGTTTACGTCAGACATAATGAGGAAAATAAAGAGAATAAGTAGTAGAAGCAAATATTTAGACAGGCTATAATTTTTTTGTAATTTTTCAATGATAAAAAATATTTTCAGTAGTATAAGTCAATTTCAGTCAGACATAATGAAAAAAGAAAATCAGTAGTAAAAGTAAATACTTGGTCAGACTTTTTACTATTTTTGTATATTTTTCAATAGTGAAAAATTAGATATAACTCTTAATAATTTTTTCTTATTTTCAGTAGTATAAGTCGGTTTCTGTCAGACATATTGACAAAAATAAAGAAAATCAGTAGTAAATGTTAATATTTGATCAGACTCTTATTTTCTTCTAATTTTTTCAGTAGGAAAAGAATATTTTCAATATTTTCTTTTCTTTTAGTAGTACGAATCGTTTTTCGTCAGACTTATTTTACATTTTCTATAGTAATTATAAGTATACATAAATATTTATAATATGATGATTAGCAAAAATATTATAAAAAAGAATAAATAAAGCAGATCAGTTTTGTATTTATTATGACAAAATGTAAGTATAATAAAGACAAGAAAAACAGTAAAAGAAAAAAAAATACTTGCAGTGCAACACTGACAATAGAACATTGACAAAAAATTTAAGTACAAAAATATTGAGAAAATCATCATTGATAAAAAATTAAAATAACTGTAGCTTATATAATTTATAAATAATTAACAAATTTTATATTAAAAAAAAAAATTCTGCTTTCTTAATAATAAATAATAATAAGAATAATTATCAGTGTATTTTGTAAATTGCACTCTAATTTAAAATTTCTGATTCGCGACCCGTTTTTGCTAAACGCGCGAAGCACATTAATGAAACGAAGAGAGAAAAAGAACAATACAAAGAACACCGAGAAAGTGTAGAAGGAGGAAGAGAGAAAGAAATTCAGAGAGAGAGAGAGAGAGAGAGAGAGAGAGAGAGAGAGAGAGAGAGAGAGACTTCGATAGAGAGACGAAGAGAGAAATGCTGTCGCGGTAAACTTTCCATTATCCTGCGTTGTAACAACGGGTCGCCGCCGGGCGTAGCGGCAAAGTAATTAAAACTTTCGTTTTATTTGCATTATCTCATTGTAAGGCATCGTATATTCTAATAATGGCGAGTTGTTAATTGCAATTAGGCGCTCACTCTGTACCTTCCTTCCCCCACCTACTCTTCAAACCCCCCACCTCTCCTCCACCTCATCATTTTAACGCCTTCGCTTTTGCCTTTAGTATCACCTTGTTTTTTTTTTTTCAAAGTCAATTCAATATTCAATCACTGTGATTTTGAAAAATATTTTTAAAAAATATATTTTTTAAATATGTGATTTGTTGGGTATTCGTAATAATAATAATTTAAAAGCATTTTTTAAAAAAAAACATATATTGAATTACAAGTGTTTTCCAATTCAGTTGAGATAAATTTTGAAAATTTTCACTATGTAATACGTGCGTGTAAAACGATGAAATTTCCAATGCATTTAAGTTTGAAAGTGAAGGATCGATGGAGATTTAATAGAGCCGAAATTGAGTAAATTCAATTGAAAGTTGCAAAATTTGATGTGCATTTTCAAAGTCCTGTGCAATTTCGAGGTTTCAATTTGATTACAGAATTATATATACGTATATGTACGTGTAGAAAATTGATTTTAGATTATTTAAAATAATTTTTTAATTATATATCCTTGATGAAAATTTTTTAGTTAAATTAAAGAAGCGAATTAAAAATTTTTCTATGGGTATAATAATAATGAGGTATATAATTTATTTTCGATTAATATTATAAATGTAATAAAATTTTTTTTTTTTTTAAACTATATTTTAGAAAATTAATTTCTTTTGGGGGTGGATTGCAATTTTATTAAAGGTTACTATTTTATAAAATAGTAACATAATGAAAGTAGAATAGCAGCTTCTCAGTTTATTATTAAATTTTATTTTGTAATAATAAATTGTAATTATTTTAATATTTTTAATGTCAAGATGTCCTAATCAAAATCCGATTGAATTTATAGAAATTATTTATAAGGAAGTTTGACAAAGGGAAATCGATTGTGGACTTGATGGAACCGGATCTACATTAAGGATTACGATAGTCGAGTCAACAATCAACAATTAAACGACAAATGAACATGTGTACTTACCTTCCCTCTGCGTGGGGGCAACAGCAGTCATCGGCTGAGGAATGGCTTGAGGAAACTGGCCGTAGACGGCGGGATAAGCTGCGACAATAACAAATGACAAATACATCATGATCTGTCACATCGAGCTAGACATTGCAAGCATGCCCTTGACAAACTACCCTCTCAAACTTCCGGCACTTCATGTCTTGCCTTCATTTTTAACCCCTCTCAATTTCGAATCTGTATATGCGGAATAAATATATTACGAAAAAAAAAAAAACCTCTTTCATTTCTGATAAAATCACTTTTTTCTGTCATACACATTCAGTTTACATTTTTGTTTTCAATTTCAAAAAAAATTATATTTCTCTTTTTTAACTTTTCTTCTTTTTTGAATATTTTTGAACGAAAATAATAATAAAAATTGCGGCAAATACACAGTTGTCATGTGAGTTTGTCAGCAGCGCCATTGCGAACTAGTGGTAGCTGAATGAACTAGTAAACACTTTACTTTACTATTAACTGATTATTACTCTTTTTTGATTAATTTTTTTGTCATTTTTTTCAAACAGAAAATAAAATCGTATAAATAATCAAAATATAAATACTGTCAATGATCAAAAATAAATCAAAACCTAAATTTAGATTAATTTCTTTCTACTAAAAAAAAAAAAAGTAATTTCATGATACCGAGGATATTTAGTTACAAGGCTTTACAAAGCCACTTCTATATGTTTGTAACTGAATCCTTTTAAAAAAAAGAGTGCTTTATGTGACATTTTTAAATCAAATCAAATTCTCTGCGCAATAGGGAGACTCTTTTTTTTTTTTTTTTATTTTCAGATAAAGGGATTTGCAACTGATACGTGATATCACTTCAAAGTTAGAATACCTGCTATTAAAGTGGATGTCGATAATTGCAATCGAGGGTGTCCGAAAGCAAATGCAGGGTCGCGTTCAATCAGGCGATTAAAATTTTAAAATAAATACTTTTACGTATATATATATATATATATATATATATATGTATTTAGATATGAATATGGAGAAGCGCGATTCGTCAATATATAAAAAAAAAATTTTTTTTTTCGTCGTATACACGAAATACGCAAATGCGCGTTCGAGAGGTGATCAGCAAACATGGTTATAGCGTTATTAATTATATGCCAGTAAATATTAAAATTCGCGCGTGATTGATACTACGCTTGTAGTGGACACATTAATGACTCGATCCTTCTGGGGATTTCCTCCACGTAATTGATTCTGCCGGAGTAAACATCGATTTATAGTATATTCCAAAAATTATGAAACTCGATCTATATATAAGCGGCGAATAAATATTGGCACGTGGCCAAACATATTGATGTGGACTTTCAAAAAGAACTCGATCATATTGGATTTGATGTTTTCCTTTTTATTTATTTATTTATTTTTTTTTATTTTAAAGCACACTTTGAAAGCATGTTATTAAAATTGAAAGAGTAATAAAGTAAAACATTCGAATAATAGAAAAAAAAAATTATAATTCCCAAAAAATGCAACTAAAAATGAAACATTAAAAAAATGCAATTAGGATTAATTAAAAATGTCATTAATTAATTTTCATAATTCATATTATGTTTTCAGTTAATTTATAATTTTTTGTAAAAATATTCTTTTATTAAATTTTGTTAATTAAAACAAAACGAGAAAATTCTAGTATAATTTTATATTTTTAAAAACTACAAAAACGAAATTAAAAAGTATGGAAGGAAAGTTTGGTTTTTTTTTTTAGTTTGTTTTATCAGATATGAGAAGACGTAAGTTCGTGCATAAATATATATATATATATATATATATATTGAAGAATGAATTTTTATATACACAACATCTAGACATTCGATTTGTTTGACAACATAGCAGGAAAGCATATGATAGACTACGTCCAGTCTGTTTGCATGCAAACAAGACCAATATGATCACGTGGTTACGTGAGTGCATGCAAAATCGAATTTTTCGCGGCTAAGTGGTTTAAGCGTACGGTAAAAGCGTGTAATCGCCAATGTTCAATTTCCCTATACTCTCTCACATCACTCACAGACCTACATGGTCGCAAAATATGTTCTTGTATATATATATATATATATGTATATGTAACAAGCGAACAGATAATCGAAAAGGAAGTGCGGATTTTGTAATCATCGATAATCTTAAAAAATCGATAACCATTTGTAATTTCTCTTATATTACGAACAGAAAAAAAAAAGAATCTCGTTTCACACGAAAAGCTTTCACGCTGCTTTATTGATCTTATTAAGTTTTTAATGTAAATGTAGGAAAAATGGTGAACATAAAATATAATAAAAAAAAGTATTTTCTAAATTTCACATTTTTTTTTTTAATAACTAAATTATTTAAAACATAGTGCGTTCCAAAAAGCAATGAAAATGAAAAAATTAATTTAATTTTCTATAATAATCAATAATCGTAATATAATTGTTTAAATGTTGAATAAAGTACTTGATTTGAAAATCTATTTTTATTTTTAAAAAAGAATATTCAAAAATGCAAAAATTTATGAAAATAACTTAAACAATTGGAACGAGGTTAATGTTTCTAAGAAGCTTGGAAATGGAATCAGAATGCAAAATCTAATTAGTTGTTTCAGGTAATTGAGTAAATGAACGCGACATGCTAGCTGTGTATTTATATATTATAATTATATGAAAGTGATGCAGTTAGAGGATTCAAGCATATATCGTTATTTCTATTCCATGTATACAGATCGAGGGCATTTATCGCGAGCATATATATATATTTTTTTTTTTAATCTCCAAATGCGAATTCACTACCTTAAGTTTTATTTTTTTTTTTTTTGATATTAAGATGAAATCTTTTTTTTTTAAAAACCAACTTACCAACTCCAGCGTAGGGCTGCATTCCAGGATACGCGGCATGTTGGAGCGCCGCCTCCCCATTGGGCAAACCTTGTGCTGGAATGGACAGATGGAGGGCATCTACATTTCAGTAAGCTCAGCTCTTATCAGAAACGGGTCAATTTTATGCCCCTGTCGCACCATTTTCAATCTACCTTTATTATCTTCATTTATTTTTATTATATTGACATTTCATTGTAAATTTTTATTTAATTTGATCGACTTTTTTGTAGCTACTGTAATTTTTTTTTATTATCAACTTCTTTTATTACTTACTTCAACATATTTTATTACTTATTTGTATTTATTATTTACTTGAATTTATTATTTAATTCTATTAATTATTTAATTGTATTAATTATTTAATTGCATTAATTATTAATTTGTATTTATTATTTAATTGCATTTATTAGTTTTTTGTATTTATTATTTATTATTTATTAATTATTTGTATTTATTTCTGTTTTTACTATAATTTAATATTGAGAGCATATGTGTTTTTAATTCAGTACTTTTTTGTTGCTAGAAAAAATATTCTAAATTCACTAGGATTCGAACCCTCGAATTTTGGAACTCAAGTCAAGAACGCTAACCACTAGGCTAAGAACATCAATCGAAAAAGTTTTTAATTCATAAACATCCTCTTATTCTTTTTTTTAAATCAGCCAACAAAATAGTTACCTATTGATGAAAATTGAAAAATTAAAAACTAAAGTTCTTTAAACATCGTTACTATAAAAAAAAAATTCAAGAAAATGATCTTCATGTTCCCTTTGACAAGAATGATAAACCTATTTTTTTCCCGAGAATCTAAAATAGATTTGTAGCCCTCGTCATCAAACAATCATGTTTTTTGATGAGATTATAAGTGAAATTGACATGACAAAAACAGTGTCTATGTGTATGTGTCTAACAAACAAAAAACTTGAAAATTGGTTTTCTAAAACTGATATGTTTGTTGCGGGAGCAATCATCGAAGACAGAAGAGGGAGAGAGAGTGAAAACCTCTTGAGGAGTGAAGACAATCTTTACATAGTATCAGTTTTCAGGAAATTCAAGAAGGGTTCATTTTTATCGTAAAACACATCGATATGATGAGTGTATGCATCGTGAAAAGACACAACAAAAATTATATATATATATATATATATAGGAAAATTTTTTTTTTTTTCGGTACCACTTTTTTGTGCTCTACAACAAACTTTTCTACCTGACCAAGTCTACCATGAATATTGTAATCCTATTTGGAAATGTTTTTATTTCATGAAAAAAAAAACCACTATATATATTCTGTAAAAATAAATCCCTTTATTCCCTCTTACGATAAAAACTCGTTGCATTTTGTTGGTTGAAATGAATAACGATTCAACTTTTTGAATTTTCTTTTTGTTTTATCCAGTTTTATATATTTTTTCCCCCTGTGTTTTTTTCGACAAACTCTAAATTTTTACACTTTTTATAAAATATATATATATATATAATTTATATTTTACCAATAACTGGCAAATAAATACATGCTGATTCATAGGTTTTCATTTAAAAAAGTATATTTTGAAAATTAATAACAACCAATAGCTGTCAAATATAACTTTGGATTATTATAGCATTTAGAAAAAAAAGCCGAGTTTCAATTTTCAATGGAATATCAATTTTTATTAACTTCGATCATTAACGTTATCCATTAAGTTTAAATCATTATCCGAAACAATGAAATGATAAATTCAGTAATTTGATAAGCATCAAAACAATAATAACTTCAATTAATATTTGCTGTTTCGAATTACTTCAGTATTAATTAATGTTTAGTAATCAAAACCAAATGTATCTTGTATATCAATTAGTTATTAACATAGTCAGATGTGTGAAAAATTCTGTAATTTAGATTTCAGTAGTGTAGGTTACATTTAGTTAGACAGAGTGTTTCTTGAATTTGATTTTATACAAGTCTCTTTTTGTGTCAAAAAATTGAAAATAAATTAAAAATAATTTTGATGAAAAATTGTATTTAAAAAATTGTAATTTTATTATTGCGATAGTTATCAGTAGTAAAAGGACATTTTAGTCAGACTATATATTTTTTTGGTTTAAGTAGTATAAGTCTTTTTCAGTCAGATATAATAGTGAAAATACCAGTATAATATTTATCAATAGTAAAAGAAAGTTAACGTCAGACGAAATCGAAATTTTTTTTGTTATTTTGTTATCAGTAGTAGAAAAAAATTAAAGTCAGACTATGAATTTTTTTATAAGTAGTATAAGTTAATTTCTGTCAGACAATAAGATGTAAAATCCTATCAATATTTTTTTCAGTAGTATAGGTCAAAATTCAGTCAGAAAATACGTTTCAAAATTTTGTACTATTAGGATCAGTAGTAACAGTTGTTCGTAGTCAGCCAATATCAAATAAAATTATTGTTATTTTGGTATCAGTAGTAAAAGAAAATTTTAGTCAGACAACTTTTTGAATTTTTTCAATTGTATATATCAAATTTAGTCAGAAAATACGTGTAAAAATTTACACTATAAGAATCAGTAATAAAATTTGGTTGTAGTCAGACAAAATCAAAAAAAATTCTTGTTATTTTGGTTTAAGTAGTATAAGTCAGTTTCCATCAGACATTAAAGTATCAGCATAATATCAGTAGTAAAATTGGGTTTTAGTCAGACAAAATCATGTAAATTTTTTTATAATTTTCTACTTTTGTAATTTAGTGATTTTATGTAATTTCTGTATCAGTAGTAGAAGAAAATTTCAGTCAGACAATATACTTTGTTTTAAGTAGTATAAATCAGTTTTTCTCAAACAAAAAAAAACATTTATTATGTTTCCCTTATTCAGCCAAAATCTCTAATTTTTATTTCAGTAGTACAAGCCAAATGTAGTCAGACAAAACATATAATTCCCCCTTATTTTTTTCAAACAATAATAATAATATTTTATCTATTATCCATATATACAAATGTCATTAATAGAATTTTAAGACAAAAACTTTATTAAAAAGTTTAAGTAAAAAGAAATATTAACAATGAATATAAATAAGTGAATGAAATAAATTGTTGGGTTGAAAGTTATATAAAGAGGCTCGCGTGTATAGTATATATATTTTTGATAATGAGCAAGTAAGGTAGATTGGGTGATAGGTGCGCAGGGGCGGTACTATGCGCCAGAGTTGATACTCACGTCCTGGATAAGTCTGAGGAATGCCGTTGGTGTAGACTCCTGGATCCGTTCCAGCGGGCTGTCCATTTGGCGTTTGCGCAGCCATGTTGAAGTTTGGCATTGTCGGCGATGGCAATGAAGGTATCGCTCCATTCACTGGCTGTCCTGTACCGGTACCTACGACCAAACCTGATCAGTAAACATCAATTACACTCATGTTCTTAAACACCGATGCTTGTCTACACTGTTGTTGTAAACAAAAAATACATGCTTTATATATATATATATATATATATATATATATATTATAACATTTCCTGCAATTTTTTCTCTCAGCTCAAAAAAAAAAATCGCATTTAATTAACTGATGAAAGAATAAAAAGAACCTTTGAAAAATTAATTCAGATTATATTTTCAAAAGTAGTGAGACATCGATGATAGGGAAAAAGGAAACTTTGAAATTGAAAAAGATTATTACTTTTCAATGGTAATTTTTATCAAAGACTCGGGATTTTAAAATCATTTTACTATAAGTAGTTAGTGAGACAGATGCCATAGAAATACTTCTTTTACAGAAGGCAACAAATTAATCGTCTTAAAAAAACCCGAATGTAATAATTAAAAAAAATTTCCTGACTTTTTTTAAAGAGCAGTTTTTATTAAAAAAAACAGACTTAAAATATAGAAATTTTAAAGCAATTACAGAAAGGAAAAAAACGAAAAGTATAAAATAAAAAAACAGGTAAAAAATAGGTTAAAAGTATTTAATGGTAAAAAAAAAATTGAAAAGTAATTATAAAAAATGAAAAAAAAAGGTTAAAAGTATTTAAAGGGTAGAACACATATTTAAATGGTTGTTTGTGTGTACACCTGAGACAAGTTCCGTCGTTTCGACGGAAATAAAACTGAGGTAGTAATCTTGGAACGAAATAAAATATTATTTCCCTATCAAACTGTATTACCTTCCGCTTCGACAAAACTCAATACGAGCCAAACCAAGAGCCGATTCTCGCATTTATTTCCTTGTCTTTTTCTCGCCCAAGCTTCATTTTATACATATATATATATATATATATTTTTTTTTTCCTCTTTCTCGTTCGCGGGCATTCGATAAAGTTTTGTGGCCCCGCAGTAATAAGAGCGCTCGAGCCTTGGCATCGTCGAATATCGGCTTGAGGGATTTCGTTTCCGCTGCACTGAGGACTTGAAGAAAAATCACCGAGAAATGCCTGTCGTTTTGAGCGATATTCGCGATACCAAAATGTTTTACATTCCCATGACTTTTGTATATAGACTTTTGAGAGAAACGATTGCAGGAAACGATTTAAGGTTTTCATCTGTTCATCGTTTCAACAGCCATAAAATATTTCAATCTAATTTTTCAATTTATATTACAAAATATATTTTCAACTAATGATCTTAATTTTTCTCCTCCGATTTAATATTATTTTTTTTTTATATCCTTTTATAAAAAAAAAATTTCAGAATTCTATAAGGTTGTGGGACAAACAGATGTTTTATTCTTAATAAGAATTTTAGTGTATTTTAGAAGAGAATTGTTTTCGAATAAACAAAACTTTTTTGTTTTAATGAAATAATGAGAGGCAAATATTTGTTTAATGAATTTTGATGTAAACTTCAATATAATTGGATAAACAAAATCGCAGTTGTATGAAAACAATTCCGCTTCTTGGCATCTTTAAGAATTACGAAACTTTCTTGAAATCACAAAATTTGTTTTGCAGAATGTATAGTTGAATTGAGAAAAATCAAATTTGCAAATATTAAAGAAAGTGACGTTTCTTTTCCTAGGTGGAAATTTGTAACAGAACAAAATTAATATAATTTGTAATTTAATTTTCATTTTAAAAATACAAATGTCGAGTAACTTTTTTCCACCCAGGTAATTTGTTCTCCATTTGTCAATGGGAAACCAGTTGCTGGAAATTGCAAAAGGAAATTTTTTTTTTCCTAATTATTATTAACTAATAAGTATTAACTAATGAAAATTAATTTTGAATTTTTTTTTGCTTTGGTTTCAGTATTTTTTTTCAACGTAAAATTTTATGGAGAAAAATATGAGTATTTTGAAGTATAAGAGAACACATTAAAAATAAGTTTATATTGAAAAAAAAAAATGACAAACTGGTTTCCTGCTTGGACAATACGAGATGGTGAAATAAATTACCGGAAGTAGGTGGGACGACGGGATTCGGCATACCGTTTAACGCGTGAGGAAGTTGTCCAGCTGCCAAGGCAGCAGCCATTGGATTGATGTATGTTCCTTGTGCCGTCGCGGCAGCCATGATTGCCGCCTGCTGCTGTAAAAGCCACAATATCGTTAAGGTGCAGTTAATTCAAGTAATTAAACTTGGATTATAACGTTTAACTATCGCCACCGCAAATAATAGTAGTTACAATTTTTTTTTTTCCATTCTGTTGTAAAATTTTTACAGTTTTCTCTCTTTCTATCATAAATTCAACAGTCCGTAAAAAGAAACAGAGTATTAACATCTGGACACATTTTATTATGTTAATTGTCTTGAATTACGAGAAATTTTTTTTTTTTATTTGTTACAAAAATAACTCATAAATATTCAACTTTAATTTTTGTCATGGAAAAATTTATTTTCTGCCCAAAAAAATTTAATCAGCAAAAAATAAATTGCAAAATAGAAAATGAAATTTCTAATTGAAATTTTAAAAATATTTTCTTTTCACTGTTTTTTTGTTGTGTAGAAAATTATTTTTAAACGATTTTCTTTTAATAGAGGAATTTTTTTCTATACTCACTTGAGCATAAGCGGCGCCATAAGCTCCAAATTGATTGAAAACGAAGGGGTTGATGAGGCCCATATTGGCAGCTGTTTGCTGCATGCGTCTTAATTGTCTTTCTTTTTCAGTATCTGCAAATTTTACCACTAAGCTGGATGACGCACCCTGAAAAAAAGTAACAATTTTTTCACTTAGTGTAAAAAGAAAAATAAGAATTTTAATTTTTTTTTTACATGTAACGCACCCTGAAGAAAGGGACTGTTGAAGCAAACGAATTATAGGTTATGTTTTAAAATTTCTTAGTGAAAATAAAATTAATTTTCAATTTGATATTTAAGTCTTTATTATACATCGAAAATAAAAATTAATTTTTATTTTCTATAAATAAAAAGAAACTTTTAATCAAGGTAAAATTATTCGCAAACATAATCTATAATTCGTTTGCTTTTAAAGTCCCTTTCTTAAAAACGCGTCAGATATTCATATTGTTATTTGTTTAATTTTAAATAAAAAGAAACTTTAGAAATGATAATAAAAATTATTTCCCGTGCAGAAATTTTGAGAGGGCCCAGATCGGGGCAGAATCAGGCTGCCCTATTAGGGAATAAGCGCGCCTGATGTGGCCACATTTTTTGGTCTCCTTGATTTGGCCCTGATAAGCGTTTCATTCCCTAATAGGGCCTTGGTAGGGCAATTTATACACGTGTTATTATTCCCATTCAATTTTTTTTTTGATATTAAAACAAATTTCGAAAATTCAAAAGAAAATTCTTTTCTCCCAGATTAAGGAAATTTGTATTTTATTTGAAAGAAATAAAAAGAATGAAGGAGATTTTTGAAAGAGCAAACAAGAAATTTTGAAGGCAATTTATATGTCTGGAGTGAAGATGAACGCATCACTATTCGCACCACAAGAGAGTAGTGTGCACATCAGATGTCTCGAGAGAGAGGGAGAGAGAGAGAGAGAGAGGAAGCGACGACAGACACAGTGAACGATGTTAGGGTGGATGAAATGGGTTACATAATCAGGTGTCTGCATCTAACACGTAGTCCATGTATTAGATAGATGAGAGGTTAGATGGTTTAATATGGCGAGATTACAGGTGGGCGCCGATCATAATAGAGCAACGGAGCATTACGTTGCTAGCGTATCTAGAATGCGTTTCACTCAACATGCATCCTAATTTACTCCAACCCCTTTTCACAAGCTATCAAAATTATAATTAACGACAAGGAACCCATTATATATATATATATAATAATAAAACGACACTCGAAATTATCAATTTCCTTATCCACCATAAATAATTTTGAATAAGAATAATAATTTTCAAATTTTTACTCTTTTTTTTTATTTGCGAAAAATTAATATTTAAACAAAAAAAAAAAAATGAAATAATTAGGGTGAAATATTTTTGCGTTAAAAATATTACTATTATTGCAACAGGTGGCTAGTAGCTGTTGCAGTTATCGAGAAAGGCTTAGCATTCGATCACAAGGTACGAGCAATATGCACGTCATCAATGCAAATGTTGAGCGTGCCCAAGTTTATAACAGCTGTAATGTCACTTTACTTCCAGTCACGCGAATCTTGCATGACCTCCTGTCAATATACATTCTAAAGATCTTTTTTCATTACCTTCATATATTAAATATAATAATCTACTTTGAAATATTGTAAAATTACACCCTTTTTTTCGATGAGGTTTTTAATTTAGAATTTTAGTATTAAAAAATTGAATTTTTTAAGATATTTTTTTTTGAAGCATTTGATTTTTAAACTGTGATTATGTAATGATAATTAAAGTAATAAATAAATTTCAAATTGTGGGCAATAAAGTAAAGAAAAAAAAAAAAAAACGAGAAAGAAAGTGTGAATTATATTTTTCTTTTTTGCAAGAGTGGCATTTTGTTTGAGGAGTCGCAAATATAAACTATCTTGCACAGAAGCCTATTTGCACTGCCATCACCTTATCCTGTCGGATCATTATGGAATAGGACGACCTCGCCTTGTGCGATTCTTTGTAAGTTTACGACGGTAACGTTAACATCTCTCATTTGCCACTCTGCTACATTTCACCCTCGTATATAGTTCTGACCCCACACTGTACTCTCATCTCTCTCTCTCTTACTCTCTCTTTTACTCTCTCTCTTCCTCGCCGGTAATGGAGCCCTGCCTCTGGTGCATCAACTCCTTTACTGCTCGTTTCATCGAAGTCTATCAAGAAGAGGAAACGCATCCTCTGAGCCTCCATTTGGAACACAATTACAGCATTTCTACCAGCAAAGTAAAAAGCCCAGAATTTTTATCTCAGATATTCTCTCACTTTAATCGAATTTTACTTTATGGAGGTCTTTCATTTTTATTTTCATTACTCAAAAAGCCAACTGGCAAAATATATATTATGGTAAAATTAAAAACGATTGAAAATAAAGTATTATTATTAATAAAAAAACAAACTGAAAAATCAATTTTAATAAAAAAATTTAAAACAAAAATGAAATAAAAAAAAAAAATTAGTTTTATATAAATTTTTCGTAAAAGAAAACGATCTGTGATTAAGAAACCTTTTTCACGTGGAGTAATAAGATAAAAGAAAGTGGAATGAGCGTGAAATAGAATAGTGATAGAACTGGATCGAATTGAATCGAATCTCTCGCTGAAGAAATCGAATTAGGACAAAAGCGAATGAGAACAAAACGTAATGAGAGAATGGTCTGCAAAATCTCGATAAATCCTGTGCATATGAGAAGGGTAAAAAAAAAAAAAATTTCCAATATCAACGAAATTCACATGTATGAAATAATGCGATATTAAAAATAAATAACCATCATTTTACATCAAGTGAATTAGAAAAATAATCATGATTTTTCCAATAAAATAAATAAAAAGAATAAATTTTCCTTAAAATGTTACGTAGGTGACAGCGGTGGGATTTTTCATTAAATTCAAAAATACACTAATTCAAAATCGTGAGAATGTATTGATTTAAAATTAGTCAAAATTTTGTCTGTTTAGGTGACAGCGGTGGGATTTTTCATTAAATTCAAAAATACACTGATTCAAAATCGTGAGAATGCATTGATTTAAAATTAGTCAAAATTTTGTCTGTTTAGGTGACAGCGGTGGGATTAATAATACGGATTTCTCATTAACTACAATGTGTATACAAATTCTAAATTGTTAAAATAACTCCAATTTTCAGTATTCATGAATGTCACAAATCTTATCAAAATAATGAATACATGTACTTATACGAATTTCCGGAGAATTGTACACAAAAAGGGGGTAATGGACGTTCCAGTCGATTTTGTGGCTTTAGACTGTTGTACATATTGAAATTAACAGCAGGTGGATTGGCAAATCCGACTACTAAGGTTGAAGAGAGAGAGAGAGGCTACGATCAGTTAGTAATTGCTTCATTCCAATGGAAGCCTTCCCTCTATATATATATTGTGGTCAATTCCACTGATGATGGAATAGACTCATAAAATCCAAACAATCGAAAAAAATCTAAATTGTTTTATTATCGAATTTCTTTCTATATTTGAATAAGTTTTTTTTTTTGACTTTTGGGATTGATGTAAAAGTTGCAGGTCGACAAAATGAGTAACAGTTGTTCGTGAGATAAAAGCAATGGAATTATACGAGTAACCGGAGAATTACTCAGGGAATGTCTTTAATTAAATGTTGAAAGCAGTTTCCGAGCCTCCGCGTTAATGCAGAGACAATTTCCTTCTATCCACTTTTCGTTTAAGAAGAGAAAGGAACATCCGTTCATAGAGGAGAGGTGAAGCGACATAGAGAGAATAAACCCCCTCGCCACCCCTTTTTCCAAAGAAGCGAGAGCTAAACGTAAGAGGTCTTCTGTGCACTATAACGAAGTTTTAAACTTTAAACGCGTAATCGCTTGTCACTTTTCTCGATCAAATCGCAAAGGGATCGAATTCTCGTTGTCCAGAAACTTGTTCCATTTTGAAACTTGAAAAGACTCGTCTTCTTTTTCCATATTGTATATATATATGATTGAAATTGAATTTTAATATAATACATTTTAGAAATTTTAATTTTTTTTTTTTTTTACAAAAAGAGAAAAAAGCGTGTCTCGTAAATAGGATTTTAAATGCAGATGCCAGCTTTCAGATGAGGGACATTGAGAGTAAATTGTGCAGGAATTAAATTCAACCGTTTCTTTTTAAATGAGGCACAAGGGAGGAAAGGTTGAAGGAGCGTCTTTAAAAATACGAAGGAAGCTCTTGCGATTCGGGTTGAAAAGCTTTGGGAGGATATTCTGCTTTGCACAAGATGAAAAGGTAAGCGACTTGAGGCGTTTAATTTCCGCATTTCCAGAAGGAGGCACAATAAAGGCAAGAGGCTTTAGGGCGGGGGTGGATGGTTTAAGGTGAAAGTGTACCCTCACTTCCATGCTTTGTTAGCCTATTGCAAAACACTTCTGGAGGAGTCTTTGCTTTTATTATGGAACAGTTTAGAGTTGTTGTGCAAAAAAAAAAGAGAGAGAGAGAGAGAGAGAGAGAGAGAGAGAGAATTGGAGGGAAGGGACGACGACGAGAGTTTTAAAGGGTTTTTCCAGGAGTGTCGTCAAGTGTGACAAGAAATGTCACACGCTTCAGAACACGTAACTACATTGGGGGGGGGGTGGCCCCTAAATCGCACATGACACATTCTCTCCAAAAAGGGGTGCTGGCAAAAGATAGAGCTTGAAAAATATGTTTCTCCCCCCCCCCCGCCCTCTCTCGAAATATATATTATTCTTGTCAGAAAGATTTGATAATAAATGGTATTTGTGTAATTTAGAATAATATTTTAAAGTTGTTTCTTGTAAAAAAAAAAATTTGTTAACCCCCCAAAAACAATTGAAATTTTAGCATAGCCTCTAGATTCCATTGTCTTGGTAAAAATTTTTCATAATAATATTGATGCTGACATGCACTGAATATTTGAAATATTTGACTCTCTTGAGACGATCTAATTCTATAGTTTAGGTACTTGACGACCTTGAGAACATACAGGTTAAACGATTAAGTGATGAGAGGATCCCCTCAGTCTTTTGCAACTTCTAGAAGGTAGTATGCCTTCTATCTCTCTCTCTCTCTCTCTTGCTCCACTTGGAGGAAAGCTCTTGTCATGATTAAGGCCTGTTAGAGAGCAAGGGAGTGCACCCCTTCTCAGATATGAGGACTGTGCGAGTATATAGCAAAGGGCCACTTGAAAACTCAACTCTCTCTCTCTCTCTCTCTCGTTCTCTTGCATATAGAAGGGTAACCTCCGTGACTCCTCTTCCGTATATAGACAGACTTTAGTCAAGTGGCCACCCTTCTGACCATGGTTCAAATCCTTCCTTTGATGCAATATACCATCCAGTAAACTGGCGAGCACATATACATATACAATAAGCCCTCTGGCTTCCTTAAAACGCGATTACAGACGATTAAAATGCGCGAACAGGCGATTCATGGCTTTTCAAACTCGCAAAACCTCATTCCCCTTTCTCCATAACGTCTATTATGTGTTGCTTTTTCAAATTCGGATTTCACTGAGAGAGATCCCTTAGTACCCTTTAGAAAATTTATCAATTAACTGTGTTCTGATTTTTTTTTTTTATGGAAAATAAGTGCCACTTTATTGTGAATTAATTTGTACTAATTAATTTAGTTAAGGATAATATTTTAATTAGCAAACTTTACTAAATTAGTAGTTTTCTACTAACAATAAGTAGCTTTCTGCTAACAATTAGTAATTTTCTACTAACATTTAGTAGTTTTCCACGAACAATTAGTAGTTTTTTTACTAACAATGAGTAGAAAATACTAATTATTAGTAGAAAATTACTAATTATTAGTAAAAAATTACTAATTATTAGCAGAAAACTACTAATTGTTTACTTTTGTTAACTATTGTTACTTAATTGTTTTTTTTACTACCAATTAGTAGAAAATACTAATTATTAGTAGAAAATTACTAATTATTAGCAGAAAACTACTAATTGTTAGTAGAAAATTACTAATTTTTAGTAGAAAATGACTAATTATTAGTGGAAAACAACAAATTGTTAGTAGAAAATTATTAATTGTTAGCAGACAACTACTAATTGTAAGTAAAAAATTATTGATTATTAGTAGAAAACCACTAATTCATTTAGTAAGTCTAATATTTCAATTAGTAAACTTTAATAAATCATTAGTTTTCTACAAACAATCAGTAAGTTTTGACTAAAAATTAGTAAAAACCATTCCCTCACAACACAAGGATATTCAGGATATCCCTGGGACGTCCTGGGGATATCCATTTGCTTTTGGCGATTCGGATATCCCTAAGATATCCTCTGGATATCCATGGACATCTCTAAGATATCCCAGGGATATCCAAACCGCCGAAAACAAATCGATATCCCCAGGACGTCCCAAGGATATCCTGAATATCCTTTTGTTGTGAGGGTTACTAATTCCTCGAATAAATAAATTGGTACAGTTGAATTAGTACCCTCTAAATTTTGAATTAGTGACAATTTTATCTAATTTAAATTAGTGACTCACCTTTTGCTTTTGAACTAATTAAATTTTACTAATTCAAAAGCAAAAAACGTGTCTCTAATTCAAATTAGTTAAATTTTTTACTAATTTAGATTTAAAAAGTAATTACTCAAAGGTATATTCAGAGAAAAGGGTTTTTAATCCTTTGTACCCTCACAGCACCGGATATTTAAGGATATCCCTAGAACATCCTGGGGATATCCATTGCCTTGCGGCGGTTTGGATATCCCAGGGATGTCCGAGGGATATCCAAACCGCCATAAGCAAATGGATATCCCCAGGATGTCCCAGGGATATCCTTAAATATCCGGTGCTGTGGGGGTAATTTGTAAAAAGAATTTAATATTTTCTTTTTTCCTTATAAATGTTTCTAGGATTAAAAAGTCTTTAAAGAAGGAAGTTACAAAAATCCTCTTTTTTTTATATTTTACATTGAAATAAAATTATTAAGTAAATAAAAATTGCAAAACACGATATTCCAAAGGGGAGAAAAAAAAGTCCATTAAAAAAAAGAGACAATTTTTTTTTTTTTTCCGCCCAAAGGAAAAGGTAGACTCGCGTCGTGTGTCGTGAACTCTACGTATCGGATTGCAAATCAATATCTCATTTCATAGGTATGAATTGAGATGTCGTGGGCTGTAATGTAGTTTCGTGACCGACGTATAAGGGCGCTTTGGATGGCAGGTTGGACGTTTTGGGATGAGTCGAGTGAACGCTGCCAAATCAAATTACCCTGCGGGCCTTGCATCGTCGCTGAGGGATGAAGAGAGAGAGAGAGAGAGAGAGAGAGAGAGAGAGAGAGAGAGAGAGAGAGAGAGAGAGAGAGAGAGAGAGAGAGAGAGAGAGAGAGAGAGAGAGAGAGAGAGAGAGAGAGAGAGAGAGAGAGAGAAGTGTATATATAGGGCGACATAGGGCGTTGCACGGAAAAGTCTTTCTCTCGGATGGTACATGGAAGGTCTAACTAAACTCGTTATCTGATGTCCCATTCGATCTTTCGGTGGCTTAACGAGCGTCGGGATTGACAAGTCCCATCTCCTCCCAACCCTTCCAACAAAATCCTTTCGACGCTGCGCCTTTTGTCGAAAATTTCATAACATTCATGTCTCGCAGTCTACACATAATTAACAAATCTGCATATTACTTCTATCACAACGACCTCGCGCTTGTTAACCTCTTGTGCAAATATCATGTGGTCCAATCCTGTGAGGATTTTGGCTACCGTTTCCCAACAAATTTCGAGAAGAAATTATTCTTCACTGTAAAAAAAATTTTTTTTTTCCCCCCTTCGTTTTTATTATAATTTCATTTAATTTATTATTGATTATAACACTTTTTTTTTTGCATTTTTTTTTCAAACTTTGCAATCCGTTATTTGATGCTTCTATTTTTTTTTAATTTTGATAACAATTTTTTAAAAATTGTAAAATTTCTATTTAAATGTTTAAAACTTTCAGGACGTGTATTATTTAATTTGAATAATGATTAAAAATTAAATTCAAAAACTTTTTGATGTCAGTATCTAAAAGATTCTAATGAATAAATTAAATTAATGACAATGATATTTAAGTTTAATCACTTTTAAGATTCAAAAAAAGTTTTTATTACCTTTTCTGTCCTAAAATGATTATTAAAGAAAATAAAAAATTACTACTACCTTTCTATTCAAAATATTAATTACCAAATATTTATTTTAAAAAAAGTGTCTAAAAATGCTAAATCTTTAATTATGAATTTATGAAATAAATTTACGTTTTTGAAATTGCTATTAAGCTCTAAAACGTGGTAATACCAATGACAATAATTCTGACTGGTCATATCGGTTAATTTAATATTGAAGGAAGTAATATATAGTCCTTTGGCGAAGGAACTGTCACCTGCCAAAAGTTTAATAATTTCCTCAGTAAATGAGATTAATATTTGATAGAAGTGAAGTTCCTAAGCGTGCGAATAACGGAGCTGGTCAATCAGTAGAAACGATCTAAGGTCAAAGAGAGGGAGTACTCACTGACAATTCAATTATAACTAGAAATTTCTGATCTTACCCTAAGCCGAGGAAGTTCCAAAGCTAGCATTGAGGATAGTCGATGAGAACAAGAAAGGTGAGAGGGGGAAGGGGGCTTTGGAAGTCCTTTGCTTTCAAGTGTTATGCAGATTTGTGTTTGGCGAGTCATTACTAGTGGTATTTGCTGGTGTGACGTGAACTTCTGCATAGACTTGGAAGCTTCAAGCCCTTTCCTATTCCCATGGAGCCTCTGGCCAAGTGCAATGTTCTCTGACTATTCCTTCTGTCCTCGCTTTCGTACCCTCGGTAACCATAACTGCTTCATTGCCCAAGCTCGAGCTACCATTTTCATTTCCCGTCTCATGATGCTCGTTGTTCCCTACAATGTGAATCCAGCGCAAAAAAAAAAAAATCCGTTTGTTTTCCCCTCGAGACTCCTATGAAATCGACTCTTGCTGCTGGAATTGAGGCAGTTTCGTCTAAATGACGCTTTTGCCTTTCAAAGAAACAACTTCCCTTGTTCTCTATATTAGTTGATTCCAAAAGCACTCGCAAACGATTCATTTTAAAATGAAGAAACAAATTTCTGCTTTTATTCTTCAAATTCTTTCTTTTTTCAATAACAATAATAATAATAATCAGAAAATCATTTTTTAAACAAAAAAAATATTTGGATTTGACAAATATTTTCCAAAGGAAAATTTTATAAACTTACCGGCATAGTTTGGCTACCGTGAAGAGAATTAATCGCCGCCTGTGCTTCTTGGTGCGACGAAAATTTAACAAATGCACAGCCTGAAACAGATTAAAGGGATTATTTGTTAGTATCTTTTTTTTTTAGTTATTAAATATAAAAAATTGTGGAAAGATTAATTTTTATGCATTAAATATACCGCGTGTTGAAAATTCATCAAGTGCAAAGATAATTAATTTTGAGGACTTCCTCTATGCCCTTATATTGTTATGACTATTATGGACAAAGACAAAAAAGCTCAGCGGGAGCTTTTTGAAGAATTGACGAGCCAACGGAGCGAAAATTTCACTTAATAATAGATATTTGTGTGTGTGAAGGGAAAAAGTGCTCTTAATTCACCTTTATTCTGAATCTTCTTGCAATAACAATTTCTCTTATATTCATCATTTTTATCTCTTCTTTTCAAACCCCCCACCAAAAAAAATATAATAATAATAATTTACCATTTCTGTTATGTCAAATTTTTGTGCAGATGTATCATCCTCTTATATATATATATATATTTTCCGTGCATTTTCCGTTTTCCGTGCAGAAATTTTAAAAGGGCACTGTCAAGCCCCACGTCGGGAAGCTCCAAATTCGTATGAAACAAGAAATCCAATCGGGGCCACAGAAAAAGCCCTCTTTCGATTAAAATCGAGGCCCGACCATAGCCTGGTTTCGCCCCAGTCAGGTTCACTGTTTCAACCAGGTTGGCGAATTTTTGCACGGGTTTAAATTATTTACAAGTAAAAATAATTTGTTTTTTTGGGTTAATTAATTAATTGTTTCAAATAGTTGATACAAAAAAAAAAATTCATTATTACAAATAAAAATTGTTTGATACAATAATAAAAGTCAGGTACTTGATACAAAATTATAAATTATTTGATAAAAATAAATATTTATTTGATAGTAAACAATTATATTTGAATTAAATAAATTTTTCTTTTAATAAAAGAAATAATTTTTTATTTTCAAAAGTACTTGTAAAAATCACCAATTTAGGAATAAAGCGTTTTTTTTCAAGATTGATAAGAGGATTTTAAACGAGAATTAGGGGGCGAAAGAAATCTTGACTTTTTTCTATATTATGCACATTATAAAATGACATGACTACGATTTGGAACGATGGAATATTTTCTTTATCCCAATTTTTTTTTTTTCGATGGTTTCTATATCTCTAGGGAGCGGAGGGGGGGGGGGAGACGCAAACACTCTTTCGAGTCAGTTGATCGATATTTCGTGTCAAAAAACTTTACGGGGTGATGCTTCCCAAGCAAGAGGGACGATCCTTCGTTATTCATGGCATGCTCGAGAGGATTTGCGTGGTTAGGACTCGCTCGAGTGCGGAACTTTAAAGAATCGAATAACGAGCTTAACAGAAAAGAAACCAACCCCCTTCACCCCCACAAAGTCATCTATAATACACAAGTTATGGGGTTTCGGTTTTAGGCAATTGGTTTCCAAATTATCGATATTGTAATGTTTTTTACAAAAAAATACTCAATTTTTTTTTACACTATTGTCAATTTTTTTTCGAATTAGTAAATATTTACTTGAATCAAATAATTTTTATTTAAATTAAATTTTTGTATTTGAAAAATAAAATTAATTAATTTAAATTTAAAAATTATAAAATGAAGGATAAAAGTTGTTATTTTTATTGACTGTATAAAAATGTGAAAACAATGTAACTTGGGGAGAAGAGTGAAAATTCAATATAGTTGTTTTTTTATGGAGGTTTTCGATTATGAGGTCAAGACCTAATAATAGGATGGAATGATTGCGTTTGGGAAGAATGGGTTCAAACTTTATCGACCCGTTAGGTAAGCAGTTTTAATATAAAAGAACTAAATGCGAAAGTGTGCTGGCGTCGGGGCCGCCACGCGATAAACTTGGACATGTTTGCCGAGTAATCAAATATGAGAGATTCTTTTTCAATCGCCCCAGCCCAAAAAGTCGATGTTCTTGGATTGGCTTTATACTTTGGTAAATTGTTGTCCTATATCACAGTAATAAATCCCCAAAATATAAACTCATTAAAAAAATATTTGTAGAAAGTAGAGGGGGTTGAAGTTTTGACGTTAAGGGTAACATTGTCATTTTCAAATCCGTATAACTATGACAAAAGTTAATGAATTTTAATTTATATATAATGAATTTTAATGCATTTTTCACGTACTTTTCAAAAATGTATACGAAAATTAAAAAAAAAAATTTTTAACCCCTTTTTTTTCAAAATCAACCCTTATTTTTCGATTTTCACCCCTTCGGGTATTTTTTTTTTTTTTTTTTTTATTTTTATTGGAAAGCTGAGGTTTTTTCCTATGAGCTATGTAAATATGAAAATGGGACAACAATAATTTTGTGAGAAACAGAATATTAAAGTAGGCGGTGCACCCGCGCTATCGACGCAAAGATGAGTACCCATCGTTGTACGCACTTATATTATTCCTGTTTACTTCAGTAACAGCTCTCTGCATTCTACAGGGTTGAGACTGTCCATAAAATAATGCCTGCATTACTATTACTGAAAGAAATTTAAATTTTGAAAAATGATAAATTAAAAATTAATAAAAAGAGAACATGTTTTTAATAGGTATGAAATTATTAATTTAAATGAACTATTGGATATAATCTGGTTTAAATATTATTTTGGGATTAATTTAGAAAAAATTATTTTTAATCTGATAAAAGGATGTTTATTATTTGAATTATGTTGAAATGAAGGATATTTGATTACTTTTTAGATTTTTTATTGCTTTTTTTGTTGCTTATTTTTTGTTGAGAAACGCGTGCAGGAATTTTTTTTGTTTTTTTAGTAAAATAATCACACTCCAATGCCGTGGAAAATTTTTTTAATTGTAACTTATTATCTTCTGTGACTGCAAAAGAATGATATTGTAGTGTACCTGGTACGGTTTGAGCATCGTCGAATCTTCTTTTTAAATTTTGAGTAGCCTCAAGATGAGCGTCTTTACTGCTGTAGAAAGTTACGGTTTCTTTGCAATATATTTTTGTATAATCAAAAAGGGCTTTTGCAGTCAAAATTCGATTTTCAGAGGAGCATTGGAGGCTGTATCGTGCAGCATTTCTTTTTATACTTGCTCCAACCCCGTCACAAGGACCCTTGCCATGAGCTGTAGCATGGAAATGCCATTCAGCTACTATTCCAAAATCTGCCAGGTGAGCCAAAAGATTGGCGAAATTATTTTTATTTTTGAAATGTTGCCCAGCACCATCCGTAAAGTAGTACAACTTCTTAGGATGAAAATTAGTTTTTAAATAATCTATTATTATATTTTGATAAACATAAACGGCAGCAGTATCATGAGTCAAATTGTCAGATATTATTACAATACTTTTGTGCTCCAGTTTCTCAAATTCTTTATAATAAATCACCACTGTGAAAATAGTGGCTTGGTCGTTATTCCAATGGAAAGACTGAGCAGAATTTTGTAAAACAAAAGCATAATTCTCTGCAAAGTCACAAGTAATGAGAAATTCATCCTTTTGCAGAGAATTTTTCAAACTTTTCATGAACGATGATTGCTCTTTTGCAATAAAATGGTGTGACTTCAGTTTCATCAATTTTTGGCAAAGTTCGTTTACAAAATCGTCTGTACTTAAAATGATGGTATTTAAAGCACACCTATCTGTTTGCGTCCAGGAATCAAATTTAATTTCGTCAATTTCATTTTCCTCGAAATATTTAATTAAATTTTCTTCAACTTTTGACTCACCAGGACAGAATTCACAGCCTCCTAAATAACAACTACTTGTTGGATGCGAACAGATTAGGAGATTGATGCAATCGCTATAATTTTCAACATTTACCTGTGAATCGTTTATTAAAGCTTGAATGCCAATACTTTCTATCATTAGTCTCACATTTTCATGATACACGCAAACGCATACTGTATGAGTTCCGCTGCTTCCAGCTAAAACGCAATTTGCAGGCCTCAACTGAGCAAATTTTGAAAAGCATATCTCAACTTCTTTATGTTCACTTTTAAAAAGAGAGTACAACTCTTTAAGATTACAGAGTACCAATCTTTTTTGGACATGCTCCCGACTCCCATCACTTTTACGAATCGATACAAAATCCTTCATCCCTGCTAATAAGCGACTATTATCGTCTTGTTGATAAAACTGTTTTACAAGTTTTTCAACGTCAGAATCCAAAGGTTTTCCTTTCCTTGGAGCAGGAAGTGCTAGAATCCCTTGCTCTGAAACCAACTTTTTTGCAATCCTAACGCTGCGTTCGGATGCACCAAACATTGACATAATTTTTTTTCTGCCCAATGACTTTGGTGCAAGTGTGAGAAGTTGAATTCTTTCAGATCTATTAGGAGATATTTTAAATTTCTCAATAATTGCTTCTAAAACTTCAACAGCTGCTTTATGATTTAAGTCATCACATTGGGGTAATGAAGAATTTTGTGGCATAACTGACACAAAATCAACATCTTTATCATCATCCAGCTCGTCAATTTCAGCATCAGAAGATTCAATATTAGAGGCAATAAGATCAGAAAAATCAATATTAGAAACAGAAGAATTTAATTTTGAATTTAAATCATCTTGAGTAGTTTTTAATTTATAAATCTCTTTTCTACACTTAGAACAAATTTTTGAATCTTCCGGTAATGTCGAAAATTTTTCTCTTAAATAATTTGAAACGCGACGTAAATCATTTGATTTGTGTTTTTCTTTTCCTAAAGGATTTACACATTCATTTCTCCAAACAAGTTTGGAGCTTTCTTTGGCTTTTGCCATTTTATCGAAAATAATAATTTTAAGTAAATTATACTTAAAATCTCGAATTGAAAAATAAAACGTTAATTAAACTCTAAAATACTTACCTCGAAAATACTTACCTTGAACACAATATTCTCAAAATAAATTGAGGAAGAAAATTATTTGAATATAGTCAGCCCTTTTATATGTGCAGCGATCAGTCTTAGTTGCGAGTTACTAAAAAGCCGTAAGCCATCTAGCGAAAAGACAGCAAACTAACTAACACGCGGGAAAAATTTGAAAACAAGAGAACATTTGA